TTTTCTACTGCTGCTTCAATAAGATTCAAAATCTTCGTCTCACTTTGTTGTTCGTGCCTCTAAGTGACTCCCGCGTATCCAAAGGCCCTCTCCTTTAAGACTGTCATCGCTTCTGGCCACGAGCAACGACGTATGTTCATGATTTCTAGCAGTTGGTTTTCATTGGATCTTGCGGTGCAGTTCAAGTAATCGACCGCATGATTTCCTGCAGAGAGGCAGCACTTTTCGGTTTCGGCAGTGCACTCCTTCTATGGATGGGCATCGCCACAGATGCGGCAATGTGAATTTCATTAACAGCACCCTACACCAGCGTTACTAGATTATTTTCAGTTGTAAAACTGGCCGGCGCTGCCCGGAACCGCCACCGATCTTTTTCTCTGTGGCGCTGCAGTCGCAACCGGCTCGATTGCCGGGGCGCTCGCAGGCGGTTTCGCTTATGCGCCGCAGTAGCCGGCGCATTCGGTGCCCCGGTCTCCGGCGTTTCTTGTTCGCGCGGTCGTTTTCAGAAGTGCTGAATGAGCGATGCCGTTCGAGTGGCACATTTAGTGATTTTCCAGCGACTGTATTTCATTGCTGTGGGCCTCTGCATGTGAGGCTGAGGCCGACAATGCCGACCTGCTTCGTTCCCGGGTGTACCAGTGGCTACAGCAGCAACAAGAACAACACGGACAGGCACTTCTTCTCGGCTCCCAGAGATGCGACGCTTCGCTCACTTTGGAATAAGGCCATCTCGCGTGCGGATAAGGAGCTTTCACGGGATAAGGAGCTTTTTTTTTTTGGTGACGCGCATGCATTTCTATTCCAGATTCCTTCAGCGAGAGCGTGCCTTGAATGTGCAGGTCAAGTCGGCGCGCAAACGCGCTAAGCTGCTGTAAGCACGCTGGCAAAGTTGTAGAGTTTGTTGTAAATGAAAAAAAAACGTTGCATATATTTTTCTACTTTGTGTCTGCCGTAAAGTGTGCACTGTGAAAACCAATAAATTGCTGAAAAGAACATTATGCTTATGACATGTAAGCTGGTTTAACTTCGTCAGTTAATTGACTCAATAATTCTTTCAATTAAAGCTATTTCGCCTTTTGCAGAAATGTCGCTTCTTGGTGGCGTTTGGTAAAGCTAACTGTTGTCAGGGCAAGACATGGAAAAGATACTATTCCAAAAAGGACGTCGAGACAATTGGGAAGTTTCGTCTTCGAGTGGCCATAATTACTAGAGCCACTAAATGACGTAGCTCCAATCGTGACCTTGCTTCTTTGGCTGGAAACAAAATGAGCGGTTTCGTGATTTTTTATAAAATTCGGAAGAGACAATCAAAATAAGTTTTAACGGAGGCTTATTCCATGCTACCAGCTTGCGGCAGACCGTTCACGCTCGTGGTTGACTGCCGGCGAGCAGCCGACGCAAGCGCGCGCAAATTACGATGCGCTTCGGCTGACCTGTTGTAGAAAGCAATGCATGAGCCGTAACGGACGGCTTTTCTGCCCCACATTAAGCGATCCTGAGCAGCTTTTTTTCTTCTATAGTCTCGTGTGCCTCCGTATTTCACCATCTGCTAGGTTGGGCACTTTTGGTTGACGGGAGGAATCACTACAAATTCTGAAGTGTTCTTGGAGATTTTTAAAGCGGTACAGACATTTCTGTCGAGGTCTTCATTTTAACCACTCGACACTGCCCTAATATTTGAACGCAAGCAGTCTTTATATTTTTTTATAACATCATGTCTTCTCTTCCTTTCAAGAGATTTCACAGTACATCTGATTTCAAATGTACAGAGATAACACTCAAGGAAATCAATTGTTTTCAAGACCTTTGAAACCCTCGACTGCAAAATGTAACATCTAATAGCGATCGTGTCATAGCTGTCTAATCATGAGGCTGTCTTTCATTCATGCAGGTAAGGTTTTAATTAATCCCCAATCCCACAAAGCCTACAGGAAAGTATGTTACAAATCCCCACAAAACATGATTGAGCTGAAATCACCAGTCAAAAAAATTCATTCTTGCAATTCGCTAAGGCAGTATATAATCGTTTAGTATTATGCAAGTTCGTAGATAAATGCGTTAAAAGTTAAAAAGGGCGGTGCACTGGCAGACTGAGGTTTTATTGCAAAAATTTCACAGTCTAGGACATAAGCTGAAGGCTTTGCTCGCTGTGTGGCAAATATCGAGACTAGTATCATTAAACCACCTCCTATGAATGGTGGTCTAGCCGAAATGCTATAAAAGTGTTTACATTACAATTCTTAGCGGGGTTAGCTAGGTTTTTTGTAATAAGATTATATCAGGATATAATTGATTAATTAGGCAAAGCAAGTCAGTAGAAAGCAGCATCAAAAACCTACAATTCCACTGTACTACTTTCAAGGTATCTATGTTGACGAACGAATCACTTCGGCAACGGCGGTTTCTAAAATACTCCCTTTAGGGAACGCACTGGTATTATGTTGCCCCTTTTAGTTTGAGTTTGGGCAAGAAATTTTACAGGAGATTCAGGAGATGACGCCTGAAACTTGGCATACGTCATTTCATTCCGATCCTCCGCGTGGTTTTACGTAAAAGGTCAGAAAAATCGGGGTTTCCTCTTCTCGGCGTTGCCCTGTGGCGTAATTCGCATCTCTTCCACTGCACAGGTGTCGACTTGGCTATCGGTACTGCTAATGTGAAAACCAGCTGCGTCATTTGTGAGCAAAACACGAAGTGATGCACTCACTTACGCTCGTAACTAGCGCTTTCGGCATTGCCTTTTCTACTGCTGCTTCAATAAGATTCAAAATCTTCGTCTCACTTTGTTGTTCGTGCCTCTAATGACTCCCGCATATCCAAAGGCCCTCTCCTTTAAGACTGTCATCGCTTCTGGCCCGAGCACGACGTATGTTCATGATTTTAGCAGTTGGGTTTGATTTGATCTTGTGGTGCAGTTCAAGTAATCAACCGCATAATTTCCTGCAGAGAGGCAGCACTTTTCGGTTTCGGCAGTGCACTCCCTCTATGGATGGGCATTGCCACAGATGCGGCAACGTTAATTTCATTACAGCGCCCTACACACTGACCAAAACGCAAATATTTTTGACACTGAAGATGACGAGAAGCGAGGCGGTTGACTCTGATATTGAGTGGCCATAGTTTCAACTCTGATGGACAGGACGTGTCCGCAAAGGTAGCATAACCGACTCAGTGGGGCTTTCTCACCATTAACTAAGCGGCTGCAATGGTATAAAGCTATGACACCAGCATCAGACAGCTTTTCCAGAGTCTCAGCAGGCGTCAGTCTGTATTCGACTCCTCGAAACTTAGTGCACGCTAAACGAGGCGGGATAAACGCACTCACCGGGGCCGAACCAAATGTCTTGCACTATAACATGTCAAAAACAAATGAAGGATTTGACAATCTGCATACCAGAACACCTCTTCCGAATCGACAAACACCACTTAAGAAGTGCAGCGTCATGGCCTGCAGCTTCGTCTGAATTGCCTTTGGGATGTTGAGCCTAATAAATTCACCACTCAAGGGCACCAGTGCAACAAGGATGCTGCCAACACCACTGCGGAAAAGTATTCCAGTGGCAAGTCACAATGACGCAAGGAGGTTGACCAAGGGCTGTGCCCTTGACTAGGAGACAAATTGGACATTACCACTGATTCGATCGCCTAAACAAGTAATATGCGACGTTAGCTTGTTTCAACAGGTCAAATTCACCAAAGGCTCAGCCAAACCACCATCCGAAAGAGTCCGAAGGGAACGGCCGCTTTGTAGCAATCGCAATACTTGTAATCTTCAGTTTTAACAGGAACAAATTACTCACGCCAGAATGATGACATTTTTGTTGTTTTTCAATGTTCACAAGAAATCAAATTTATTACTCTGCACTAAATGGTAATAAGAACGAAAAAAAAATGCGGACACTTCCTGCGTTATATTTTTCTTTTTTTGCATTATGCTTCGATAAATCCCTTTTCAGTACGTGAATGAAGACATGTGCATTGTGCCGTGATAGATAACTTGGCATTCTGCTAACCGGTAACGCAAATAGTAGGCACTGCATGCTCAAGAAGCAAACTGGGCTGCAGAAATACTCATAAATGAAAGTCCAGCGAGCAGTGAATTCCGGAACATTGTCCTTGTCTCTTATCTATAATACATGGGTCACCAGGCAAGGTCCTACTGCATCCTTGCACAGCAGATCGTTTTCGCAGCTACCGACGAAATCACTTGACGCCAAATGTAATTTGCATCGTTCTGCTGCCCGCTGGACACTGCCCTGAAGACAATCAACAATGATGAAACCCACCTAACAGTTTCGCCCACAACAGAGAACGCGAGCAAGCGCATCACACTAAAACACGTGAGGGGGTGTGTCTTCACCAGCGAATTTTACGAGTGGGCCTTGCTTCCTTGCTTGATCCTTTCTTGTGGCTCTTACCCGCTAAGGGGGATTCGCCAAGAAGCCAGCGGTTAATGTAAGTCAATACTTTAGGATTATCCATGGTAAGGATATATGATTACTTTGTTTTCACTTGACGGGATTGCCATGTATGCCCATGCAGTGCAAGCGGCTGCACTGAGTAATAATAGCGTGGGTAGAGGGCGCTAGATAAAAAGATTTTCGTAATAATAAAGACCACCATAAATTGTTTTTTTACTACACCTACATGATATTGTCCATGAAAAGAAATCTCTCTTGTAAAACCTATTGCTTGCATCGACTGGTGGTGAAACGATTCGGCGCCGCTTCTGCGTCGCTTCTACGCCTGCGCGTCGCGGCAATGCCTCCAAACACGGGCGCCAGCGATAAGAACACTCTCGCCCAAAAGAAGCAAAAAAACTGTGTGTGTGTGCCCCGATTGAGTGGCAGTTGCAGTAGAACCTTCAATGCGGAAACATTAAAGTTATGTTATTTCACATCTGGTGACCCAGAAAACGAACGCACCGCACCGCCATGGCCGACGAGAAAAACCTTGCTCCCCTTCAGCAAGAAGTACGACAATTGCAACAACTACTGCAGGCCCAGAAGCAAGTGATCCTGAACCAAGAGCAGCAGCTCCGGGAACAGCAGCAGCGCAATGAAAATGGAGCGCTCTCGTCCGACGACCATGCACCACCCCACTTGATCCACGCCCCCAAAACTTCGCTCCAGCAGTCCGTGCCATCTCGAGCGCCTCCATTGCTGCGGCCGCCACCGACACGGACGTCTGTCGCGTCGCCGTCAAACTTCCAGCGTTTTAGGCAGCGGCAGCTGATGTGTGGTTTGCTCAAGTCGAGGCACAATTTTCCAATGCACGCATCACCCAGGAACGGACGCTCTATGTCTACGTCGTCGCCCATCTAGACTTTCGCTATGCGGCTGAGGTTCGCGATATACTTGCCAACCCCCGGCTGATGACCGTTACCTACACCTGAAGAGGGAACTGACCCACCGGATTTCACCTTCACAAGACGAGAAGGTGCGTTACCTACTCCAGCACGAAGAACTCGGTGACCGCAAGCCATAGCAGCTCCTGCGTTACATGCGTGACCTCTTGGGCAGCAGCCCGGTTGATGACTCCCTCCTCCGTATCATCTGGCTTCAGCGTCTACCCTCACATGCGCAGGCCATCCTCCAGGTGCAGCCAATACTGCCGCTGAACCAGCTCTTTCACATCACCGCTCAAGTCGTCGAGATTCTGTTGCCAGCATCGCCTCTCACCGTTAACGCCGTTGACACCCGACAGTCCAGCAGTGAGCTTGCGCGCCGTGTCGACGAAATCACCCGTCAGCGCGACTCAATTCAACGGCACCTCGATCAAAGCCCGAAGCTGTGTCCACAAAAACGCTCCCAAAGCCAAGACAACAACGCCGTTTCATTGCACGGAAATGATCACGGCCCCTGCTACTACCATCGCCGCTTCGGGGAATGTCAACCACCTTGCTCAGCTGGACATCAGGGAAACTTCAACGGCAGCCCATAGAGACGGCCGCAAACTGCAAACTTAGAAGTCACATACTTGTCACCGACCAAGCCACAAAGTGGTGGTTCCTCGTCGACTATGGCTTCGACATCTGTTGCTTTCGCCGAACCTTCCTGCGTGACAAGCGTCCTTGCACGTACTTTGACCTCAGCGCGGTGAACCATTCGACCATCAAGACCTACGGCTCGCTCCGCCTTAACATCAACTTCAAAAACCCGTGTTGAGATTTTCCATGGAATTTTGTCATCGTTGAAGTCGCAGAGCCGATCATCGGGTCCGACTTTTTGGCGTACTACAATCTTCTACCTGACTGCCGATATGACCGACTTATCGGCGATACAACAGGCCTCTTCACGCAGGGCCAACGTGCGACCACCCAACAGCCTAACGTCAAGGCACTCACCATTGGGAAGCAGTCGTCATACCACGACATCCTCGCAGAATTTCTCGATCTAACTCGACCTAGCGGGCGTCCGTGAGAGGTGCGCCACTAAATCGTGCACTACATTCGTACTACTTCCGGCTGTCCGGTCTCATGCCTTGCCCGTTGGCTAGCCCCGGACCGCCTACGAATCGCACAGACTGAATTCGAAGCCATGCTCCGCGAAGGTACTGCCCGCTGCTCGGGGTATCTTACGCCTCACCGCTTCACCAATGAAGACCAATGGCTGGCGCCCCTGCGGAGATTATCGCACCCACAACGCCCGCACCGTCCTCGACAGGTACTTCGTCCGTCATATACAGGACTTTGCTCACCGCTTAGAGGGCAGCACTATCTTCTCAGTGGTGGACCTCGTAAAGGTATACACACAAATTCCTGTAAACGCGGATGATGTCCCAAAGACCGCAATTATTACGCCTTTCGGTCTATTCAAATTCCCTTTCACGAGTTTTGGTCTCCGCAACGCGGGGCAAACCTTTCAACGCTTTATCGACGATGTCTTCCGCTGCCTGGACTTCTGTTTCGTCTACCTAGACGACATCTTGATCTCCCGCAACGAAACGGAACATCGCCAACACCTTCGTCAGCTGTTCCAGCGTCTCGACGAACACAGCTTACTCATAAATGTTCAAAAGAGCACGCTCGGCGCCCCCGTCGTCACGTTTCTTGGCCATGAAATCTCTTCAGAAGAAACTATACCCTTGCTGACCGCATCCTGGCCCTTCAAACGTACGCGCTGCCTGCCACAGCGAAAACCTCCGCCGTTTCCTGGGCGTGTTCAACTTTTACAGGCGCTTCGTGCCTAAAGCGGCCGCATATCAGGCCCCTCTCTATGATGTGTTGGCCGGCCAACGCGGCCACTGTCAGCGGCACTCGAATTCGCACAGCTGAATTCTCCGGCAGCTTCTCATCCTCCGGCAGCGCCACCTTCTCCCGTAGCATCTCTGTGCTTGCTCGGGAAGCACTGCACTGCGTTAACGTGGACTCCGAGCCCTGAGTGCGTCCACTCGACGCGGTTGCCCATTGGTTCAACGAACATTCAAAAAACAAAAGTGAGCCTTCGAGCCGGGACCGCATAGCGACGCATCGCCAGAGAGGGGAACGAGCCGAGATTCGAGCGGGGACCGGAGAGCCAGCCGAAACGCGAGTGGCGTCGGACGTAGCCGATCGAGCTCCTGCACCGAGTCCAGTTTCCTTATACATGTAACCGCTGCCGATTCACCTGTAACTTAGCACAATACAGTTTTTTCTTAGAATTTGAACCTTGCCTTGAATACATTCATTTCGGACATCGCTGACATGGCGCAGCCGACAGGATGTGAATCTACCGAGCTGCATGCGGAGGAGGAAACGACGCCACGCCGTACATCGTCTCGGGACTCCGAAACGACCATCTTCGAAAGCGGTGTTCACGGCCCTCGACCACAGCACGATGGCCAATGCAACGAAAAAGCAACTTGTCGACGAGCGGAGAGCACGAGGTCTACGGTGCTCCGGACGAAAGGACGAGCTCATCGCAAGAAACTTCCAGAACGAACGTCCACACGCCCAGGAAGTCTGTCCCCATATTTGTGCATTGCTAATAATCTGCGTTGATTGATACATGTCCAGTTCGGTGTTCAGTTCAGTGTCCCAGAACCTCCACATGATTATGAGAGATGCCGTAGTGCGGGGCACCGGAAATTTCCCCCCTCTTGGGGTTTTTTTAACGTGCACCAAAATCTGAGCACACGAGCCTACATCATTTCCCTCTTCATAAAACATAATCTGTCTCTATATTTTTAATCGTCTTAAAGATTATGCTCATGTAGCCACCATCACAGGAAGCCTTAGAATTTCTGGTTAATGTAAAAAACCCGCAGGATACGCATGTCATGTATGCGTGACCTGGATCGTCAAATGGGCTGACAAAACCATTTCATCAGCTTGGCCTAATCGAGATTGGAAGCCATACCAAAATGTGCCCCGATTTTTGCGCCCTCTGCAAACGGACCATAAAGCACAACGCTCATATACGGCCTGGCTGAGCAGAGACGCAGTGAAGAGCCTCAGAATAGTTCAAACGAACTTCAACCGCATTACACGCTTCTGAAACCAATATTCCCGACCAAATAGACTAAGGAATGCAATGGAACTGCCCCTGCCGGGTTGGGCGTAAACGTAACACCGTCGTTGTCTATCTCATCCCCAACGAACCGTTCACCGCTGGCAGGCTCAGCTGGTTTGGTCAGGTCCTCAGGACCAGCCAATCCTAGTGAACAGGTTGGGGCGCAAAGCCACGGCTCACATAGCCTTGAAATCTGGACGCCGCTACTATTGGTGGAGGCGTCATTGGCTCGTTATATTAATAAAGTTTAGTCCTTCCCAGCATTGGTGGTAACCACAAATGACTGGCAAGTAAACATTATTCAGAGCCTAACACTGTACTTTTTTCTGAACTGTAATGTGTGTCAGGAAGCAGAAGGAGGTTGGTATTTGTTGTAATTTCAGAATTGCGCAAATTGTTTTTGCTCAAAAAAATTTCTTTCGCTGTAGCTTTAAACGACTTACATGTAGAAATTTCAAAATTCAGATTGCTGTTTGAGAAACGCATTGTGGAAGGACCGACTAGTGGCAGCAAGCTTGTCCGCTACACAATTCAACTATATCTTATTGTCACTCAGGAGTTTCCAAACTTCTTTATGCCGAAAAAGTTCCACGATCTATTAGAATAGGCTTCCTGACTCCTTGCGTCAAATTACAGCCCATCAATATCGGTTGTTTTTTGAAGTTGTTGCTCTGTCTTGACGCCTACTCAACAGTGGATGTAACGGTCATTCCAGTGTGTATGTAGGCTTTGAAAACGTAGGCGTGCGCAAGGTTCCCCACTAGCGGTGCCGAAGGTTCATCGTAGCACCTGCATTCGACTAAGTAAATGTATGGGGCATAAGTCACGCCTACTCATAGACGACTACAAAAAGGCAACCTTTCAGCTCCTCACCGCCTACCCCATTCGCACGATTATGTCAAACCTTATAGTTACATTTCAGTGTAAGAAATAGAAAAAGGGGTCTATCGAGGGAAGTACCAATTTATGCGTATTGTGAACTTCATTTTATGGCTAGGTTTAGAGCGCATAGATACAAAGAAGGCACAAAGGTGCGTTAGTTTCAAGCAATAGATTAAAACAGTTGGTCTTCATTATAATGCTAATAATTTGAAATATATCAGTGCAGCTGATTTAAATCTGAGGCAGGCTTGCGCTGTTCTTGAGGTCGATCACCGCACTCAGTTATAGCGCAAATTCTCACTGCTGTGATGATTCGTAATGTTATATAGTCCTAAGAGCAAAGTGCCAGGTTTCATCTTCCATTACCAAAATGTCGAAAGCTCCTCCCTTGCACGTCAGCCTGATGCAAAATAAAGCTCTCAATTTTGCCCAGAGAAAGCTGCTTCATCTTTGTAAACAACAAAGAGTCTCTTTAGGCTGTCTTAACTATGAGCCATCAAAATGTCGTTAACGTGATAACTTTGAGGAACTCGTTTCGCAGAAACTCCGGAGTCAACGTCGGCATCTGTGCCGGCGTGGGCGTCGTTGGTTGTCAGCGAGAAATTATCCTTTGCAGGACCACAATATCGAGAAACATGAATTAAGTAACGGAAAATTTTGAATCTGAGTGAGGATCGAATCTTGGCCGTTTGCGTAGCAAGCAGGTCTTCTACCTCATATCCACGCGTCTGCTTTGAAATAAGCTGCAAATAACATCCACTGCTTGGAAATGCAGTGAAAAGTCGTTGATACTTTACAAACGCACGTGTCCTGTACACAAGCTTCACAATACAACATGTAATATCTCAGTGATTGCGTGACACAAGCATACTTTGTCATTCGGCGTAAAAACGAGTGGTTATCATAACCACTTCATGGTTTGAAGTGAGCCACCCATTACGAAGAGCACACATGTTTCTGCACGCATTCTCTTAGGACCATGTAGCGGGTTCATAGCATGTTCGAAAACATTTCTCACGTATTATACTCGTGGGTTGAAGCATGCTACTCATTACACTGTACACCACCATATGCGAAAGCTTCAGTGACACAAGCCACCGATTGCATTTAGCAAACCACTATTTAAACGTCTCGAGTAACATCATGCAATAAAACGATGGAGGCGGAAATGTTGTAGGCCCGTGTGCTCAGATTTGGGTGCACGTTAAAGAACCCCAGGTGGTCTAATATCCGGAGCCCTCCACTACGGCGTCTCTCGTAATCATATAGTGGTTTTGGGACGTTAAACCCCACATATCAATCAAAATGCAATAAAACGTATGGACTAAGTGGTTGAAATATATACGTACTAGGAAAACGATATCGCTATCGTGTTGAATTCATAAAAGTGAAGCTTCAGGGTCCCCTAATTTTTGTTTTAGAATTATATCCCCTATCATTTGCGGGGATCTTTTCATCCGTAGCGCTTGCAAGTGTAAGAAATATAACGCGCGTATTACTGCCAGCGAGAGCCTGCTTGGTATCTCGATGGGAACGATGCGACTGGTATGACACAGACTCATTTATTTGTAGAAAGAAGTCAACGATGAGCTCATGCTGTCCTCGCAACTGACCCGCCTCAGGCTTGTCTCACCCTTTAGTAATGAGTCACGCTTTGTGAATCAAATAATATAATATTTATTATTCCTGCGCTCTAATTTTTATATATATTCGGGCGTATACGTCTTGCAAACTAGATTACAACAATGCCTCAAGCAGGTCGAAGGCTCTTGCTTTTTGCAAAATGCAGTGATTACTCTTCTAACCAAAAAAGACTTCCGAAACATGATATCGCGTCTTCTTTCTAGCATCCATGCTTGTGTGCCCACTTTTTCAGAAAAATTACCATCGGAGTTTGCTTGACGCATATGAACATCGGGACGGACTTTCTCTCTGGCTAAGTTGCACTGTTATTCAAGCGCTCACACGAATGATCTTACGTGTTTTACGACACCCCAGTACGTATCGGTACACAGTGTGCCAATGCATTCGGGTAACATCGCGTTATTATTCCGCGCCGCGAAGAGCACGTTGTAAGCGATCCAATGCATATGTAAAACAAATAATTAAGTACAATAATCAGCTACCGAGGGGAACGTCTGTCCGTGGTAACAAAATACAAACGCTTCCGGATATATGAGTAAACAAAACAGACCTCAGTTTCTTCAGGATGAAAACAACAGTATAATGTAAACAAAGATTCATTCAAACAATCAACGAATTCTGCCAAGGAAATTAAGCGCAAAATGGCATGCTGAGATTGAGAAAACAACCTCGCTTTGTAGCCAGCAAATGCGCATTTGCGCGCACTGAAATTTCATGTCCACAGCGTCGCTTGGAATCCCGCAAGTGTGAACTGCGCGCTCTTTGTGCCCGCGACGCAGGGACCATGAAGGTGTCACGCTTTCAGTGCGGCGCGCAACTCACCCGGTTACGGAACTTACGTTAGGGCGTGCGCGACAACTCCGTTTTGCAAGATCGCAAAACAGAAAGGCACACGCTAACACACGCAGCCGTGCGCCCGCGCCAGCCACTCAAATGCAGGCATTTTCATCACGTGATCTCTAGAGAATTGCACATGCCGTGAGCATAAGTATAAATGTCTTCAGCCAGACACTCAGATCATACACACTCACTTCACTGCTTCGGTAGCGACTTGCTATCGCAGTACGCTGAAATACTCGCCACCAGTACGAAGAAACCGTAACATGTTTCCCAGGGTAAGAATATGGGCGTCTATTTTTTATAATTTATTTTCGGTTTGTTCAACTCAAGATGCAAATTTCGAGCAGCTTTTAGCGAATGAGTTTGAAAAACCTTGTATGAATTCTTCCTGCTTTTGCATGGGGAAGACAGCGATAATACGTTAAAATCCTTCTAGTTTATATAAGTGATCAAGAGTAAGAATGTTATCTGCGTTTCTGCTAGCCGTAAAAGGAAACTATGGCAACCATTTGAACGGCTGTCACCGAGTGATGCAGCTCGTACCACGTGAGGAGCACTGAAATATTTCAGTAGATCGTGACAAGATGCTGTGCGTATCCTTCAACAATGAAAAAAACCTTGTTTTTAAAGTTTCATTTTGTCCTTTTCTAGTCTTATAGTTGAGGATCTTACTAAAGAGCATCATAACTAGACTTACCTTTCCATCTAGTCGACTCATTCACCCCAACTGGTTCGAATAATTCTAGATACCTGACGAGCTTACGATGAATCAATCACGCCAAAAGCCGCAGTTGGCTCATTTCTCTGAAATGGATCCTTGAAACTTCTTCTTTCGGCCGTGGTGGACCATTAGTTGAAGTGCTCGGCTCCTGACGTGAAGGTAGCGGGCTTGATCACAGCCGCGCCGGCTGCAATTTGATGAAGGGGAAATAGCAGAGGCCCGTGTTCTGTGTGATGCCAGCGCACGTTAAAGAACAGCATACGGTCTAAATTCACTGAGCCCTTCGCTAAGGTGTGTCTTATTATCATATCGTAGTTTTGGGACGTAAAATCTTAGATGCTCAAGAAAAGTATTCCACACACCTTCTCTGACCTGACATAACATGCCGTCTCCAAATGAGCCTTGTGCGGCATAAATAATTTTGGTCGTTCTCGTTACGCGCGCTCCAGTATTTGCCCCCTTGTGCTTCTGTGCCAGGAGGAAACATGCTCATTCACATGTGCCTTGTAGCGCCACTTGAGTAGTCGCATTATTTACAGTGTTCTTCGTTGACTTTTGAAATTCTGGCCTAGTTATCAGTAGCACAATGCAATGTTCACATGCTTGCCTTGTTGAGTATCAAGATAAGCTGGCTCGATTCATTTTCTAATACTCTCTCTATGCGTTCTAACCAAGTTTAACACTTCTAATACAACGCTCCGTTCCTTAACAAACGTCATTCTTGAGAAATTCAACAACTGAAATATACTGTTTTACCGGCTCATGAGGCTGGCAGCCAATAAGGACGTGTGTTGCATTGTCTGTATTGCATGCAGCTCTCTCTTCTACACTTTACGCACCAACCTCTACTCATCCAAATTCTCAACTAAGGTCCCCAGTAGTGGGTGTGTTATCTGTAGCCTCACTGAACAGAGCACTATAGTCTTTAATTCCTATAATAAAGTAATATTTCCTGACAATCTTCATTTTTCAAGGTCCACGTGGAATGAATAGCAATCGAGGGCCCATTCCTCCACCTTGCCCTCTTCTTGATCGGCATTTTTCTCATTCCTTGTGGAGTATCAAGAAAGCAGCGGCGTGCATTCAGATATCTATTAAGACATTGACAAGAGGTACTGCACTCTCCGACTGAGCAGTGCCCCCATAGCTGTTGCAATGTCGTCCTAATGAAATGACGGTTCGTAATAAATGATAGCTATGGCATACATGGTGATAATTGCAGTTTTCTCAAAATTTTCGCGGATGACAATTACTGACAGTATCGTACAGCTTTCTGATACCAGACTTTTCTTAATCTTAAATCAAATGCAGCTCATGGTTTATGTTGATGTTCGCATACTTTCAAGGTTCGTACGCGTTCTTTACCAAGGAAGATAACTTGCCCAAGGAACGTTGTCTTTTCTTTCTTTTTTTTATTTCACATTTACATTACAATCACTTTTAAATGAATCACCTATACTTTCCTTGGCATGATTGTTTGTTAGATCACATTATTTGTGTTTAACAAAGAAAACAAGTTCTTAATGGTATATTTTTTCCTTAATGAAGCATTGTGTGTGAAGGTCTGAAAACTTATAAAATATGTCATGTCCCGTTTCATGAAAATTTACAGGTGTTTAGTTTTCTGCCAATTTTTTTTTGGTTTGGTATATGCAAAATCTTTTGAGTCTCCTCGCGTGTTCAAATGAAAGATTGGTATCTTACTCCTGACACCTAATCATGGTTGCGAACCTGGCCTCTATACTCCGCAAAATTCGCATGGAACTCTTTCCACTTCGTGACGACTTGCACAACCGAATGCCAGCCGCGGCAGTCGCATTCACCATGGAGGTGTAAATTTTTCCCTCCCGGGTACTTAAATTTAGGTGCACGTTAAACAGCCCCGAGGAGTGCTAAATTCCCGGAGCCATTCACTCAGCGTCTCTGATAATCATATCGTGGTTTGAGGACGTTAAACCTCGTCAAAAACTATTATTAAGTGGTGACGACATCTCCGTGCCTATGTTTCACTACGAATAATTTTTAATTACTCCACAAGTTTTCTTTCCCACAAACTTTCCGCTGGCGTAGTTTACGTCAGCTCCACCAACTTTAGGAATTTACACTTTCTTCAAATACTTATGCAGCTTAAAGGTGGTGCATTCTGATAAAAATGTTTCCTTCCCAATCCAGTTTCAGCTGTTCCTCGCCTGCGTTGCGGCGCGAGCCATTGCACAGAACAGCCAACAAACAACCGTGGGATACCAAGATCCAGGCTACGGTCGCCCCATTGGCCCTGCGGTGGGCACTCCTTACCAGGGATATGCCGACTTCGCTGGAGTGAGTGATACTACTTTTCGGTCACCATTTTGTTTGAAATTAGAGCAGCAGCTAGCATAAGACCGCCCGACACATACATCGAACGCCGAATGTGAGATGGAGCACTGCGCCGCATACAAGGCTTGTAAGGTTGAGAAGTTTATGAAGCTCTCGAAACGAACAATAATCTCTCGTAACCGATAGCTCGAGATTTCCAGAAGGTTGAGCTCTAGGCATGTGCTATGAAACTAAATAGCCATCCACGATAGCACACTTACTTACTCAAAAGTCTTCCGCAACCCTGCTATCTATGGAAGCACATCTTCTTCTTCCCTCTACTTTCATCAATTTAAACTTATACTTTTCCGAAGAATGTGTTAGGTATCTGCCAGACTTCACATCGCAATTAGTACACTTTGTTAACAAGAGTCAGTGTAACTGGGAGACATTTAAGTTGTTCTTGTTCGTATGTACTGAAATAATTTCACAGCTGTAACACAAATCTATAGTAAATTACAGGCATATTGCACTCGTCTTAAAATTTACCGAGACGTAATACAAAACGAAAAAACACCCAAGATTTTCCCTGTAACAAACAGTTGACATGAATTCTATTAATTCCGCACTTGAGAGGTCGAACCTGACGCTGCTTTTTTGCCGTACCTTACATAAAGTGAACATCAACAATTCATAGTGAGCTTTATTTCGTTTACTTCTGCGTGCCCGTGCATCTCATGTTATTTGTCTCCCTTCTTTCTAGCCACCTCAACCATACAGCACAAACTACGACATTGTGGATGAGTTAGGCAACCGGCAGTACCGCAGCGAGCAGGGGGATGCCAACAACGTGAAGACCGGTTCATATGGATACACGGACGTATACGGCCTCTACCGTCGCGTTAACTACGTAGCCGATGCCAACGGCTTCCGTGCAACGGTGGATACAAACGAGCCGGGTACAGCGCCCGGAGCCAGCGCCGACGTCGTGTTCAACGCCGCTCCGGTAGTCCCTCCGGTTCCAGGAGGAACTGCAGCTTCTGCAGGTTTTGGTGCTGCAAGATACGGTGCTCCAGGTTATGGCGCTAGGGCTTCGATCCCGGGCTACAATAATGGATACGGCAGATACGGGGCCTACGGAGCCCCCGGTGCCTACGGCGGATATGGCGGATACGGCCCAACTGCTGTTGCCAACGGTGCCTACGGGTACGGTGGGTACGGGCGTTCCGGCTACGCTTCGTATGGACAGGGCCTAGGAGGATACGGCAACGGTGGATACGCGCGTCCCAACGGCTATGGTTCTGCCTTCGGGACTGGTCGATATGGCGCTGCGGGCTACGGCGGATTTGCTGCTGGTTACCCCGGTTATCGCCGTCGCTAATGGGAGTTTAGCATAAGCTGATATCAATAAATGATGATTGTGAACATAAACAAAGCTTAACGTTTTATCAGTGCTTCCTTGTGTTCTTTCTTCTCGTTCATTTTGCTCACTTTGCAATACGAACGTTTAATTGTTTTACTGACAGCTGAAGAGCGACGTTGGTCTACATATTTCAGGCAATAACTATGTACGATATAAGATTCACAACTGAAGAGATTCTACGCACAACGCCTGAATGCTCATTTTAGTGTTATGCAAGAAATATTGATTTTTGAAGGTAGAGAATATGAGTGACAAAAAGCACCCAAGCACCTTGAAGGGTTCAGCATAATAAAAAGAAACAAACTAGAGTGAAAGTCATCTATAGCATATCTGGCACACGTGCTTACCTTTAAACATGTTTTTTTTTCCTGAAATCTACTTCTTTTAAATTCCCTCAACACAGCATTCCCCAATCGGTGCACGTACCACTTTGGCTTGACCACTGACACATGTTGGGACGACTGTGCGTTAGAGTCGATGGAACATAATTCTTAGGTTACCAGGTATAGAGAGAAGAAACTTCTTTAAAAGAACTTCTAAAGCATCGCTGGATCTAGGTAAAATTTTTGTACCTCCCTCTCCTCCTCTGCACCCTCCGGTGTTTAAATATTTCTGTTCACATTCCTTTATCACGAACCTACATCACAGCCATTACGTTGTACCTTGCACATTCCACGGTCAATATAAATATTTCTTGCCAACGTTTTTTTTGTCTACTTCTCATCTTAGTGCCTTTTTGCCCCTAATATCTTTCTGTCATATAAAATAGCATGTATGTGTCTTCTTATGCATATGCAAAGTTTTCTTGTTTTCCCTAAAAGAGCTTTGTCTCTATATTACTCAGTAAGTGGCCACGTTCCTAACCTAGTGACAAGGCGCGAAGAATGATCGTCTAGGGCGTATGAAGGTAAGATAAGCAATATGATCACGTCCCTGTATTTTTCAGTCATTTCAACCTAAAAAGTAGAACTGCGCGTATGCAACGAAAAAAATAAAAAATGACACGTTATGAGAACACGTCGATTCCTCCCTGTGCTCATCGTACATATGCTGCTTTTACTTTTTTGTTTTGCAACACCAAATGACGCAATGTGGTACACTTCTGCAGGTCCCTTGAAACCGCTTCGACACTACGCATTTGAGGAGCTTATTTGTGAATTACCAATAGAACAAATGCAGATTTACTGTGGTCGTATGTCAAAGAAGTGGTTGCTGGAACTTCATCTTGGAGAAGACTATGCTAAGCTCAACCTGAAACGTAAATTAAGTGGGATAATGTGGCATTTGTCTCACGTATCTTCAAAAATAATTTTGCAGAAAATATAGCGCTCCATTAAACACCGCACACTTACTGCACCCGCGACAAATAGCAACCAAACTACCTACATCACTGCCTGGATGTCCTGAATTCAGTTTGCTATTTGACGGGTCACATCAGGGCCTATTTGAAATTTCGCCTGATCTCCCTCGAAAGAAGCATTAGTGAACCTATGTAAACGTAGCCATGAAGAGAGAGCAGTTTCTGAGAGCTGATGGTAAATTGTGACACAGCACTGCGACATGGCAGCCTGGAGCTCCAATCCATAACGAAATTCCTACAACTTGACAGGTTAAAGAATACTACTCTACAAAAGGTAACGTTGATACTGTCATCGATGACTATAATGATGTATCATGCTGATTGTAACGGGTGGGGCCACTCAAGTCACACTGTAGCATAATCAATTCATATGCGTGACACCTGAAAAAAAGACACTCTAATCTTTCGCACTACATATCTGCTCATGTGAATCTTTATGCGGAGAAGAGGATGCTCTTGATCCTGCTGTTGATCATGGAGTAACGATTACGAATGGTGTTTACTCGTTTGTAATGACTGGGTAATTTTAATGCACCATCACGTTGTGCACATCAGACACGGGGACCCAGCACCCTCTCGTTCATACTGCATCACTTGATTTACTTAAGCAGTGTAGGTTCTGTTCCTGTGAGCAAGTGCTCACATGATCATCATTATAATCATCATCGTCATCATCATCATCATATCACCATAAGCATCATCAATTATCATAATCATCAGCTGACTACGTCCACTGAAGACCAAGGACCTCTCTCATGATCTGCCAATCAACCTGATCTTGTGTTTTCTGAGTCCACGTCATACCTGCACGCGTTTTAGTCACATCTATTCACCTACTTTCTGTTTCCTCTTCACCTCTTCCCCTTCTCTTGGAATCCGATAGTTACTCGTAATGACAGCGGTTATTCTGCCTACGCACTACGTGCCCGGCCCATGTAGCCATTTCTTCTTGATTCCAGCTAGAATCCCAGTTTGTTCCCTGACCCCTCTTCTATTTCATGTCTTAAATTACACCTATCATTTTCCTTTCCAATCGCTGGCATTATCATCTTCATTTAGCTTAATTCTCTTTGGAATCCTCCAGGTTTCTGCTCCGTAGGTAAGTACCGGCAAGCTTCAGTGTTAATATACCTTCTTCTTAATGGGTATAGCGGTAGATTACCAAGCATGATTTGAGAATTCTTGCCAAATCTGATACCACTCCATTTTTATTCTTCTAGTTATTTCACTCTCATGGTTCGGCTCCGTGTTCACTATCTTTCCTAAGTATTCATGCTCTTTTACAGCTCCAGGCTCTCTTCACCATCGCAAAGTGCTGTTTTCTTCCCAGTTTGTTGCATATTACTTTGGTTTTATGGCATACTAATTTCAGACCTCTTCTGTTTGGTGTGTCCAGTTCAGCAATCATGACCTATAATCCTCCATTGAATTACTCAACAAAGCAAAGTCATCAGCAAATCGTAAGTTATTAAGATACTCTCCGTTAACCCTATCGCTTATTCTTCTGATCTAGGGTCCCGAAAACTTCCTGTGAACACGCGGTGGATTCAATCGGACAGATCGTGTCTCCCTGCCTCACACCCTTTTTTAGAGAGAAGGCTGTTATGAGATCACAACTTGGGTCACGCGCACCGCCGTAGTTGTTCACCACCGCCGCCGGCGCCAACAGTGCTGCCGGTTTCCGTAACCACATAACACGAAATTAGCAAAAAAAAAGGCAGATTCCCCGTACACTGGGAACCGATATGCGAAGCACGAATAAGAAAGCTTGATATGTCAGTTCAAAATCAGCGCAGCTTTACGAGGTGGAGGTAAATGTTTGGATGTGTTGTTTATCTTCGTCATCTGCTAACGTCACCTGATACCACATTTAGTATATGAGGGGCTAGCGAAATGGCCGAGAGCACGCTATGAGCGTGGTTGTTGTCATGCTCTTGCGTGACATGCGTCTCAGGATTATCATGTCCTGCACCAGTCATATATTTCGTCATTCATTGACGTCCACATAACGCCAAATTCGGTAAACGTGCAACAAGCAAAATGACTGCGAGCGCATCATGAAGGGCCCCATCATATTAAATGTAGCGTTGACGCGCGCCGCACCGCTCAGCAGAGCGACGCTACGCCAGCAACACGCGAGCACTCTATAATCTACATGACGCCAGGCGGGCCGACTGCGACCAGCGTCCGTTCGGCACGGCCCGACAGTAACCGACGCGAAATTCGTGCCGATGCGTTACCCAGAAAACACTGCGTCTCCCTCTTTTCGTTTACGGAGGGACGCCGGACGCGCTGAAACGCGCATGCGTCAAAGGAGCACAGCGCAGCGCGCGCCTGCGAGGACATGGCAGGACCGGTGCCTGGACATGGCACGCCGGCACCACGCGACAAAATGAACGCCAGCGAGGACGCGCACCGCTTTCACGTCGAAATGTATTAGCACTTTCAGTAGTCGCATTGTAGTCATATTCTCAACATGGCACCAATCTCATGATTATTATGTTTGCACCAGTCGCATGCCTTCATCATCCATGTAACGCCACGTATACCCAATTTGGCATATGTGAAAGCTAGCGAAACGGCCACGAGTGCATCACGAGTGTTGCATTAGTCATGTTGTTACATGACACGCATCTCTTTTTCTCATGCTTACGCCATTATCATACCTTCGTCCTTCATTCACTTCACGTCCCATATTACCAAGTTTGGCATAAGTGAAGCTAGCAAAAACGGCCGCCAGCGCATTATGAGCATGGGATGTAATCATGTTTTTACATGGCATGCATCTAATGATTAATCTTTGCACCAGTCACATACCTTCGTCAACCTTTCACGTACCGTACTACCTAATTTGGAATTATGTGACGCTAGCGAAACGGCCGCGAGCGCATCATGAGTGGGGCATGTATCATGTTGTTACATGACACGCATGTCATGATTTTCATGTTAGGGTCTCTCACTTGTGTTCCCATGCAGTCATGTCCAGCCATACCAGTTTTGCATCATGCTATGTGAACCGAAACCGCTGCAAAAGCTGGAGGACCATGAATTGTAAATCATGACATTCATGACATACATATCATGACTTTCATGTCATGACAAGTCAAATTGTTTTTATACAGTCATGTCTGCCATACCAAGTTTGTTACTAATACCATTGTCTAAACGGCCAGGAGAGCTAAAAGTCGTAGGCGTATAGATAGATAGATAGATAGATAGATATATAGATAGATAGATAGATAGATAGATAGATAGATAGATAGATAGATAGATAGATAGATAGATAGATCGATAGATAGATAGATAGATAGATAGATAGATACAGACCGACAGACAGACCAGACAGACAGACAGACAAGCCAGACAGACAGACAGACAGACAGACAGACAGACAGACAGACAGACAGACAGATAGATAGATAGATAGATAGATAGATAGATAGATAGATAGATAGATAGATAGATAGATGGATAGATAGATAGATAGATAGATAGATAGATAGATAGAATAGATAGATAGATAGATAGATAGATAGATAGATAGATAGATAGATAGATAGATAGATATGATAGATAGATAGATAGATAGTATGATTCAAGGTCACCGAAGTTCGTTAAGAAAATGCTTAGGATTCAAAATAACTTAGTACCAATGACCCAGTGGGGCTA